CCAAGGACTGGACAAGCATTATCTTAGCAGAGGACGGAAGAAAGTTCCTCAAACGATACAGGATCCACAACGTCCCGGTGACCCGTTGGCATATGCTAGTGACATGAGCACGCCAGTTTAAGTTACTGTCAACATACAAGCCAAAATTCCTGTGTCACAAATTACAAATTACTGTGCCCAGGCCTGAATCCAGACTGTAGAGGACTAATAAGACTGTTACGGTAAATGAAATTCGTACATTTCTATAGATTAACTAACTGTTTCTCAAAAATATAGAAGAACTTAATCAGCTGCTATTAATTAATAAAATAGTAATCATTTTAAGTTGTTCATGGTTTTCGATTACGAAGTTACATACCCTGTTTTGGACAGCACTAAGCCACCCATCTGCAATGGATCTCCTTCGCATCTGTTGAAAGTATTTTGCAAGTCTGTGCTGCAGGGGTATCCGATAAGTTCACTATTGCTCATAGATGCCGCAAAGACCTCGTAGGCACGGTTATGGTTGCAGACATGACCAAAGCAGCCAGGTTGATTTACACCCCCGTTGACGAAGAAGTTGATGTCACCAATTGCCGTTCCAATACCATTCGAGCCAGGTCCTCTGATATCTGTGTGGATAACTTCGACGTACATGGCATCAGAGTCTGCTAATCTTCCAGAATCACTGCCCCATCGGCTGGCAGCTGGATCCAAACCTGAAAAAATAGCAGAGCGATAGTTATACTATTTGTTATTCAGTAATATTATGAAAAAGCTCATTTTTGCGGATAAATAAGAATATACCTGTGATTCTTCCAACTCTGCCCAATCCTTGGTCCAGTTGTCGGCCAGCTTGTCCAACAATGTGAGCTCCAAGATTGAAACCAACCAAATGCAATGTGCTCCTTATTAATCTGGCTTCAGTTTCTAGCCAGTTTATGAAATTGGCTAAATGATGAGCTACCAAAGGCACAGACTGTCTAGCGGCAGTATATCCTTGATTAGCTTCTTTGCTCCAGTCAACCACGATAACATTATGGGGTTGTTGATGAGATAAAATAGCTGAAAATTAATTTATGATTGAAGGTACATTTTTTGTTCTTTTGATACAAATGATGAATAATAGAATAACCCATATAATTAGGCTAATTTTGGTCTTGAAATATTTAAAATGTTTGAGGTGGTACAAAGTTTGCTGGTTCAGCAAATCAATACTTAATAATGTTTAACGTCATACACGCGTAACTGTTTGGGGAGATAACTTCCCTGTTCCGTAGCGTGGCTTGAAATTGATCGAGCTATCTCACGATGTCTCCTACGAAATTAATAAATTATGTTTAACGTCGGTATATACCTACTGTAGAATCATAGAAGTACTCTATTTACCAAATTGAAGTCCTATTTAGGTTTATTCAACACACTATACTTTGTTGACTCGCTGTCGTGTCTTATTTCAAAATACTCAAACGCCACTCAACTTTAAGATGCGGTTAAGTATAGTTCTGTCGCTACAAATTCTATGTAAAATGACAGAGATGGCACGATTTTTAGTACAACTTAAAATGGAGAAGCATTTCAGTGTTCGGGTGCTAAAATATTTAAAAAACTTACCATCTTTAATCAGAGTGTTGAAGTCAGAGTCCACGCTGCCTTGATGCCCATGAACAAGAATAACAGTGTTGTCTGTTATTTTGAAGTTAGAGTATCTTGAAAAAGGCACCGTGGGGTCTAAAATCTCCAGCACAATTGGATTTTCCCTTAAAAAAGTGCATTATTAATATGTTTGTCAACCAGTTAAATGGATCCATACATGATACTGATCAGTACTTACAATGTGTACAGGTAATAGATGTTCGATACCCCATCTTCTGCGCGGATTACTGGAAAATCAATCAAATAAATACGATAGTGATGATCATTATATGAGCGTAGATAATATAATAGATTTTATACAATTCCTTTTTATTATTTAAGTGACTACCTAAAGTAAAGTACTACTTTATTCAAAGTAATTTGATTGTACAAATACAACCACAAAATATGATGAAAGAGTTGCAACCCCATTCAATACCTGCATATTAGAATATCTTATGCATGTTGCATTGTGTCACAACCCTGATGCGAGATCCACCTAACCTAAACCTGTAACATTGGGCCACCAAGATACAGGCTGTGCCTATTTCGGGGCCCACGGTTACCTCTGTCGCCTTTACGTTTATTGCGTTTATGTGCAAACGTGTCAGTGTGTAGTATAACTTGTGTATGCAAATAAATAAATTGAATTTAAAATTTAATGTAGGTACATCATAGTTCTCCTACATCAGCATTGAATTCACTTTGAAATTTTCACATCTGGACATCGAAACAAGCAAATGACTTCAGTAAGTGACTGACTTACAAATCCTCTGTAATAAAAATGTGTAAATGGAAAACTGACTATTTAATTAAAAACACTTTAATGTAAAATGGAAATCTCACCTGCCAAAGCAGCAAGAACGATGACTAGTTTCAACATCTTCCTTGATCGTTACCGAACTGGTGGTGATTTGCAAAACCACTGCTTTTTATTGTCATTTTAATCAAATAGTATGTGTGGTAATTAAAGTTCGTCTTGCCGAATAGAAGATAATTTATCATATCGTAATAAGATCTATAGATTGCTAGTCAAAAGATTTTTATTACTGATCTTGTTATTAGGTAATATTTTCCTCAATAATTGTGTAGGTATTATGCGTATAGTGATACTGCCAAAAATGATGTCTACACATGGCAACTAATATGTATACCATCGACATCTTACCCCTCTATTTACTATCTTACTATTATCAAAAATGCCAATGTTTGTGACTATGTTGTGACTATGTATATTGGTCAATCACGTCAAAATGGCTGAAGCAGAAGCAGAGGTTTCGTCACGAACACGGGTAGATTGTGGTCATAGATGTTGGTAGACTATGGGTTAACAAGCCAATATCTAAGAATGTATGTATTAAATACATTGATATTGGAGCAACAGAACCTAAAACATAATTCTTTCCGAATTTTCGTCTGTTTATTCGTATGATTGTTTCCTCATCACGCAAAACTAGTACATGTAATTTAATGCAGTTTACATCGCTGTTTTGATAGCGGTCTAACTAAAAACTAAAAAAGCAAAAATAATCTATTCGTAGAGGCAAATCTTTTTCAGACTAGTACATTTGCGCGATGACATCAGGTGCAAGGGATAGTGATACGAGAACGGAGCAGTGCTTTGCAGCCGTTCACTGTTTGTTTGTTACTTTTAGTTCTTATTTAGGTTGTTTTTGCTCATGTTAAGATTATTAAAGAGAGGTTAGGGCTGTGTGTTTCTTTTACCAATCTGTTGCAGCTATGGGGAAAATATCAGAGGTATCTACCGATTATAAGATTTTCTTTTCGCGACAAGGCGCGCGGTCATGAAGCTGTGTCCCAGACTCTGAGGAGCGACTGCTGTTTATCGTCCTGTTTGCTCGCTTCACAATATTGTGATGACAGTTATAGTTGGGAATTAAAGCAAGCAGAGTGCAAGCAGCCTAATTGTTTGGGACTAGTGGCCAATGATTCACACAAAAGTCGTCAATTGACTCTTTTGGACGTCATATTAAACGATCCGGGTTAGTAACTGCTTTATTTTGGGGCTATTTCTATTATTCTGTACCTGTAATAACCAGAGAAAGTAGAGAACCGTAAATACAGTGTTAGAATTATCCGATAGTTTTTCACTTTCTTTCTGAACCTGGAGTCGTAACATAATTAACTAAAAATCGCGGGTTACTCACGTGAATATACTGAGAAAAGCTCTACTAGTTTCGAACCACAGAGGGGTTTTTCCTCATGAGCAGGGTGCGCGATCGCGGTGATGTCACGCAGCCAACTGGCCGGCGTCCATCCCCAGCAGCCCTTAATCGTTTGAATAATTCAATTGATATTTTTACCAATCGTATGATTACTATAACCCTAGTAAACTTAAGGTACGAAACGTCTTACTGCATTGCATTCTTATATAACACGAAGTACTTACAATTACTACACTCCGCCAAGAGTTGCTGATTAGAGTTCCAGCCTTTCAGAAACCGGACAAGGTTAGGTTAGTAGGTACACTGCCTAAAGGTTACATCTAAATTAGGTATAATAATGTATCGAAATTTTGTCTGCGTTACTTATAATGTAATTATTAGACATTACAAGCCTCGGTGCCCAAGCGAATTGATGACGCCTGGTCCATCAGAAACAGCAGAGCATAGTAGATTACGCTTTTCAAAAATTTACATCATAATTACATGTGGACTAAGGATATCTGTCCACGAACGACAGGTGGGTTAACGTTGACAGTTTTCATTGTTTCAAATCAAAGTGCAAGCATTTGTCATTTGTAGGCTGCCTAATTGTCGTTGAAACGGCCGTTTGCATAGTTTTCGTAGTTTAGATAAAGTGCTAAGCTAAAATAAGATATTTCCTAAGTGCATCTTAATAAAATGTATCTTGCGGTGCTCATATGCCAAAACTAGAGATAATACAAATAATTTTCAATATAAATAAATTGGAAATAAGTGACGGTTCGTTTAATTTTGTAGAAAAGTTGTTCTCATTAAATGCTTTGAAAGGCACCATTTTTCTAGAAACACCATCGCTCGCACCACCAGTGCGAGCGATGGAGATACCAGTGATAAAGTTAGAAGGCGAAAACAAAAGACCAATTTAAAATTTTTAAATTCCAATTTTTGTTTTCCTGATAATCATCACCTTTAAGTATTCAAATGACTGGCTTATAAGGTGGTAAGAATGTGATTTATAAAAGTTATACTTTACACAATACTTTTTTAGTGTAGACCATAATTATATTACGCGTATTTGTGGAAAGAAATCCACAAAGTGAGGTATAGGTAAGGTTGTCTGTACAAAGCCTAAGGGGTTTCACTTGCATATACAGAAAAGTAAGTAAAATTATATGTATAGAAATAAAGACAAGAAAAAGTTACGATAATAAAAACAAAATATTTTGAAATAAGCAATAAGTATAATTCAATAAGTACGATTTATGTACATCATTTAAGTCTCCAGAAAGACTAAACCAAAAGTGAGATTAAATTGTTTTTCGGGTATTTTCCACATACAGGCTGTTTTTCAAACCGTAAACAATCATCGAGTGTTCGGTGTTGTCTTTAGATCAATTTCATTAATAGGGCCACCTTCCACTTGTGTTGACACGGTATTTTTTGGAACTGAAAAAAAAAACATCTGGTTGAAATAACTGAATTGAGAATTTCTATAGATTAACTGTTTCTCTAAAAGATAGGACAACGTAATCAACTGTTATTAATTAATACTAATAAATTCAAGTTGTTAATGGTTTACGATTAGTAAGTTACATACCCTGTTTTGGACAGTAGTAAGCCACCCATGTGCAATGGATCTCCTCTGCACCTGTTGAGTGTATTTTGCAAGTCTGTGCTGCAGGGGTATCCGACAAGTCCACTGTTGCTCATAGATGCCGCAAAGACCTCGTAGGCACGGTTATGGTTGCAAACATGACCGATGCAGCCTGGTTGGTTGCTACCACCGTTGACGAAGAAGTTGATGTCACCAATTGCGGTTCCAATACCATTCGAGCCAGGTCCTGTGATATCTGTGTGGATAACTTCGACGTACATGGCATCAGAGTCTGCTAATCTTCCGGAATCACTGCCCCATCGGCTAGCAGCTGGGTCCAAACCTAAAAAAACCGAGCGATAATTATACTATTTGTTATTCAGTAATTTTAAGAAGAAGCTCATTTTGAAAAAGTAATTTACCAGTGATTCTTCCGACTCTGCCCAATCCTTGGTCCAGTCGGCGGCCAGCTTGACCAACAATGTGAGCTCCAAGATTGAAACCAACCAAATGCAATGTGCTCCTGATTAATCTGGCTTCAGTTTCTAGCCAGTTTATAAAATTAGCTAAATGATGAGCTACCAAAGGCACAGACTGTCTTGCGGCACTATATCCCTGATTAGCTTCTCTGCTCCAGTCAACCACGATAACGTTATGAGGACGTTGATGATATAAAATAGCTGAAAAGAAACAGTTGAATTACAGATAGGTACAGTTGAAGACAGATCCGCCTGATCATTAGAAATGTATTACTTGAACTCGGTAAAATTATGACGCCATACACCATAAATGTCTTAACTAATAGGAAAGTAATAACGTCGCAGCTAAGTGACGCAACCCATGTAATCCCTTAGGTAGAGGTGCGTTTAATGTTATCTGGCTAGCTGCACCGGCGCAAGCGCCACCCACCACTCCGTGTCATTCGTCAATTCAAGGTTATAGGGCGGGGCTAGAGAGCGTATCTCATCAGGTGCAAGCAAACAATAACTTAGTGATATCCTAATAATGTGTCCTCTATTGTACATTTTATGTTATTTTGGTGGAGATTTCATAGTTAATTACAAAATCACAAATTTGAAATAGAAAGTGCAAAATTTAATTTTTAAACAATTAATTCAACTAGTTTGGAAATTTAAAATGTGTGATATGTCATCATCACTACATACTGTAAAACAAAATCGCTTTTACTGTCAGTCCTACGTATGCTTAGATCTTTTAAACATTTAGGTATATGTTCAAAATATTAAACAACTTACCATCTTTAACGAGGGTGTTAAATTCAGAGTGCACGCTGCCTTGATGCCCATGAACCAAAATAACTGTGTTGTCTGTTATTTTGAAATTAGAGTATCTTGAAAAGGGCACCCTAGGGTCCATAATCTCAGGTTCATAGTGGTTTTCCCTTAAAAATTGTAAATTTTGATTAGTATTTTTGTTAACTTGTTAAATAGATTCATTCTTTACAATGGTTAGTACTTACAGCGTGTACAGGTAATAGGTGTTCGATACATCATCTGCGCGGATCACTGGAAAATATAATTATAGCTATTTAAAGTTATTTTCCTGTTAGATAACCTTACTCATGTACATAAAATTGGAAGCGGAATAGAGAAGTATAAACTAGTCGGGAGAACCTCATACTGAAGTTTCGTATCAGGTATAGTTCTCACCTGCCAAAGCAGCAAGAATGAGGGCGAGTTTCAACATCTTCCTTGATCGATACTAAACTGATGATGATTTGCAAAACCACTGCTTTTTATTGTCATTTTAATCAGATAGTATAATTACGCGATAATTAAAGTTCGTTTTGCCTCCGGACAAAAGATAAAAGCGTTATCAGACTAAGATAAACATTTTTAGTCTGAAACTGATCTTTCCTTTAAGCAAGTTTTTCCTCATTTTTAGTAAGTTAAGGATAATAATATTTATGCAATAACTATTATTATTACAATTACAATTATACACAATATTTAAATCCCATTAAATTCTACAATTGGGTACTGACCAAACTAGTCAAATCCAATACTTTTTTTCAAACTGTCAAAAACGTCAGTTTTCTATGATATTTGTACGACATTTTGTGTTGTGACGTCACGTTTTTTTATCCCCAGACAACAAATGTTTTTTTTTTAATTGCTGGAAATAGGTATACGAAAATTAAATTGGTCTCAATTAATAAAAGTGTGATAATTTTTAACATGTCATTGTATTAAACAGTCGAAATAATTTATTTTTGATTAAGGCAAGTACCCAGTTAAGTAATTTTATCAGTCAAAACTAAATTACCTGTGTGTACTTTTTGATACAAAAACAGATTAAAAAAGTAATCATACAGTCTTTTATTTATTGCACAAATACAGTCGATTGTCGTTTTTCCTTTTAAGGATTTTTTTTAGTTATAGTATGCTTTGTGACGCAAACATATTATGACGTCATAAGTTGTAATCTCATACAAATTCATAGAAAAGTGTCGTTTTTTAATATTTCGACGAGAGCATTGCATTTTACTACATAGTGTACAAGTAAATATAAATTTTTACAGTTTACATAATTTCAAAGAAAAAAGATTATTATTAAAAAGCGATGAAACATTTTATTTACATAATAAAATATTTAACCAATCTCCCCAATCCCTGATTCCCCAACAATCCTCAAATTCCTAATCCTCAAAAGGCCTAATCTGCCTCTGGTGTTTAGGGTATCCATAGGCAGCGCATATTGCTTACCATCAGATGATCCGTGTGCTTATTTACCAGTTAACTCCATAAAGGAAATTGATTCTTAATTTTATAAAGACATTTAATATTAGATAAGGTTGACTGTTAGAGAATGCCACTAGGCATTAAGTCCATTCATTGTATATCTACAAGAAGTGTAAATAAATAAAAAAAATATTTAATTTACAAAATAAAATATTAATTAGGGAAACTGATAAACAAATGGCTGTGATAAATCTTGTTACGACGTGTGATAAATCTTGTTGACGCCACGTTATTATGATAAACTACGGCTCCCCGTCCGACCAGAAACAGACCCGAGCGTACTACGCGTCGCACTCCGCGCGCGCCTCAAAGAGCTATCAGACCACCACAGATGGGCTCAAATGTGTTCAAGTCGGAGCCAGAAATTGACGAAGCCGTGGGCCACTTACACCAATGCCTCATTGAAGCCAGAGATAAATTTGTTACTGCTAAACAACCTATTAACACTAACAATGTCTTACCTAGCTACATTACAAAAATAATTAAATACAAAAACTTTTTAAGGCGTAAAGAACAAAAAGCACTAACTGCAGACAAAAGACATTTAAGATCAGCTATCAATTATTTACAAAAACTTATCAAGTTACATATTGTAAAATATCAAGACACATTATGGAATTCAAAACTTTCTAAAGTTGACAATCCTGGCAACGATTTATGGCGTCTGGTGAAAACTCTTAAGCCTAAATCTGACACAATACCTCCACTTAAAACTTCCGACGGCTTATTAACAGCGAACACGTCTGAGCAGTGTGAGGTCTTAGCAGATACTTTCGCGATGAACATGAACCTAACCCACGACTGGGTTAGCGATAGTGTTGAAACGGATGTTCAATCAGCTATAACCGTCTTAAATAATCATGCCATAGAAAATTTTCATCAACCAGTCCGGCCTACTCAAGTCTGGAAAGTTATACGTAAACTTAAGACTAGAAAGGCACCTGGCGATGATGGAATACACAATATAATGCTTAAAAACCTGTCACAAAAGTCAATTGTGTATATTACCAAAATATTTAATGGTTGCATAAAGTTGGGTTATTTTCCTCATATGTGGAAAACTGCAAAAGTTATTGCTCTGAAAAAACCAGGAAAGGACATTGCATTGCCGACCAGCTATAGGCCCATCAGCCTTCTACCAGTCCTAGGTAAACTTTTTGAGGTATTGATATATGATCGGTTGCGGCTATCCTCAGAACAGCTTATCCGGAACGAGCAATTTGGCTTTCGTTCATCTCACTCCACGGTGCAACAACTGGCCAGAGTTTCCGAACATATATCTTATCATCTTAATCATAAACAGTCTACCGGCATGTTCCTTCTTGATATCGAAAAAGCTTTCGATACTGTCTGGCATGATGGCTTGTTATACAAGCTCATCTCTTTCGGAATTCCATTGAATTTAGTAAAACTAATTCAGTCCTACCTCAGTGATCGCAAGTTCGTGGTACATATTGGCTCTAATAGGTCGTCATCCCGGGTGATGATGGCTGGGGTACCGCAGGGGTCAGTGCTTGGTCCTTACCTCTTTGTCCTGTATGTTAATGACTTGCCTGTGCAAGTCCGTACCCATTTAGCCTGTTTTGCTGATGATACAGCGTCTTATACTTCAGATAGCGACGTTGACATTATCATTAGCCGACTTCAGATGTCTCTTGAATTACTCCAGTCTTACTTCAATAAATGGAAGCTCAAATTGAATGAATCTAAAACTGAAGCCATTCTTTTTACACGTCAACGTAACGTCCCTAAAAGAAATTTGAATATTTCTGGTCAGTCCATTCCTTGGAGTGCAGCAGTTCGCTACCTGGGTATCACGCTGGACAAAAGGTTAAACTGGACTAAACACATAGCAAAATTACGTGTCAAGGGAGCACAAGCACTAGGTTCCCTAAGCCCTATACTCAACCGTAAGAGCAGACTCAGCCCTAAGACAAAAATTAGACTATACACAACCTTAATTAGACCTTGCATCACCTATTCATGTCCAGTATGGAGCAATACTTGTGAATCAAATTATAAACATTTACAGATTCTACAAAATAAAGCTGTTAAAATCGCTTATAATACTCCATTTTTAACTAATCTCCAAATACTTCACTCGAAAATTAATTTACCAAACATAACACAATATATTTTAAAACTAACTCGCAAATTTTACAGTAAAAATAAATGTCACTATAATACTTTGATTGCCGACATAGGGCGAAAAGATTTGAATGATTTGCATGGTATCGATAGATATGGTACATACAAGCTCCCACATCACTACGTTTTGTTCGCACACAAAAGGAACAGCTTATCCGGAACGAGCAATTTGGCTTTCGTTCATCTCACTCCACGGTGCAACAACTGGCCAGAGTTTCCGAACATATATCTTATCATCTTAATCATAAACAGTCTACCGGCATGTTCCTTCTTGATATCGAAAAAGCTTTCGATACTGTCTGGCATGATGGCTTGTTATACAAGCTCATCTCTTTCGGAATTCCATTGAATTTAGTAAAACTAATTCAGTCCTACCTCAGTGATCGCAAGTTCGTGGTACATATTGGCTCTAATAGGTCGTCATCCCGGGTGATGATGGCTGGGGTACCGCAGGGGTCAGTGCTTGGTCCTTACCTCTTTGTCCTGTATGTTAATGACTTGCCTGTGCAAGTCCGTACCCATTTAGCCTGTTTTGCTGATGATACAGCGTCTTATACTTCAGATAGCGACGTTGACATTATCATTAGCCGACTTCAGATGTCTCTTGAATTACTCCAGTCTTACTTCAATAAATGGAAGCTCAAATTGAATGAATCTAAAACTGAAGCCATTCTTTTTACACGTCAACGTAACGTCCCTAAAAGAAATTTGAATATTTCTGGTCAGTCCATTCCTTGGAGTGCAGCAGTTCGCTACCTGGGTATCACGCTGGACAAAAGGTTAAACTGGACTAAACACATAGCAAAATTACGTGTCAAGGGAGCACAAGCACTAGGTTCCCTAAGCCCTATACTCAACCGTAAGAGCAGACTCAGCCCTAAGACAAAAATTAGACTATACACAACCTTAATTAGACCTTGCATCACCTATTCATGTCCAGTATGGAGCAATACTTGTGAATCAAATTATAAACATTTACAGATTCTACAAAATAAAGCTGTTAAAATCGCTTATAATACTCCATTTTTAACTAATCTCCAAATACTTCACTCGAAAATTAATTTACCAAACATAACACAATATATTTTAAAACTAACTCGCAAATTTTACAGTAAAAATAAATGTCACTATAATACTTTGATTGCCGACATAGGGCGAAAAGATTTGAATGATTTGCATGGTATCGATAGATATGGTACATACAAGCTCCCACATCACTACGTTTTGTTCGCACACAAAACTGATACCATCGTAGCATGAGCCACGCACTGCGCCAGCGCTGCCCCGCTCTCGTCACTAAACCGTGAGGAGGCGCGGGGCGCGGGGGCTCAGTCGCTGTGGTATCTTGGTGCGGCTACCTGCGTTGCCACTGTTCGCAACATTTTATGTATGCGCGTAATTAATGTATTTTTACCCTCGAACTATAATAATGGAATCATTACAATGATTTCATATGTATAACATTATTAAATTATCATAATATCAAGCATACATAACCTACTTATTGTTTTAAAATACTTAAAAAGGCTTACACAGCCTGTAAAAGTGTTGTTATTTGAAGACGGAATTGTGACTTGTATTGTAAGTTTTTCAATTTGTGTACACCTACTTATTTTAATAAAGAATTTTATAAAACAACCACAGATGGGGCCAAATACGGCCGATGCCGATTCGGAGTCGCGGAGAACCTAACGAGTAACCGGGCTCCGGCTCGACGTGCAGAAGAAGGAACGGAGTGGTTTTTAGTCAGTAAGAGTCTGACACTCCCTGCCGCCTCACCCAGGCGGGAGCAGTAATTCGATGATTTTCCACCCTTAAAAAAA